CTAAAGCAATTTAGCAACTTTGGTGGCAAATTGTTTTTGCTCTGCTAGTCCATGAATATCATAAGAAACCATGGCAGTGTAAGAGATTTTCAAAGAAGAAACTATAATTTTGGACCTATTATCTCAGTGGAAACAAAAAATAAGTGAAAAATAAAAAAAATATTATGGTGAAGTGTTCCTATGATCTCAAAATGTTCAAGAAGTATTGATTGGGGTGTCCAAGTGACTGAAGGTGGGAAAGAAATGCTCATGTACTTCCTCTCCACCCAATGGTATATTCATGCCCTAGCTCCCTTTGTCTAAGGTCCTGGTGGTGTTTTCCTACTGAATTGCTTTTGTAAGAGCCCATGAAGCATTACAAAATTATAAGCCAAGGCTTTCTTGCTCCAAGATGAGCAAACCTATATATGTTTGCTAACTGTGGAAGACACACATTTTTGTACACACTTCAAGTACAACCTATATGAGAGTATATTCTACAATATGTTTATTTATTTATTCGATTTGTATAGCTGCCCATCTCACTTTTACATGACTCTAGACGGCTTACAATAAAGCAAATAAAATACATAATACATAATATAAAAAAACAAAAATAAGACACATAGCAGCCAGGCATAATCTAACTGATTATCCACACAACCAGGAGATGGGCTATAACCCACATCAGGACCCCAAGGTGTTTCGAGGCCTTACAAAAGGCCAGCAAGGATGGGGCCAATCTAATCTCAGGGGAGATGATGTTCCAAAGGGCAGGTGCCACGGCAGAAAAGTTTCTCCTTCTGGGCCCCACCAGCTGACACTCCCTAGCTGAGGGCACCCGGAGCATGCCCTTCCTGCCAGATCTGGTAGGACAGCTAGAAACAACTGGGGAGAGACCAAACACAATACTAAGAAATTTATATTTTTACAGCTCCAAAATACTGAAAAAGTTTGTCCTAAAAGCTTAATCAAAAGTTTTCCTTTCAAATAGTGACCCATTAACTTTTTTTTTAAAATTGGGACTAGCATATGTACACTCAAGTGAGCAGTGAAGTTACCGTCTCAACTTCAGTGAGCAGTGGATCAACTAAAAGATATCAAAGGCAAATATTTGAATATCTGAAATATTCAATATCCAGTAGCACTACCAGATTTTGACAAAACTGGGAAATTCAATGTTAAAAAACTGCCAGAAATCCATATAACAAGATCCAGGAAAGTTAAACAACAGAATGGAGCCTAATCCATATTTCCAGGTGTGTAGGCATCACCGTCCAGCAAACAGGACTTGTGGTCCAACACAGATTGTGGCAAGTAGAAGAAAATGATGCATAAAATAGGATTGCAGTGTGATTTACTTCTGAACAAAAATATACTAGCTGACAAAACTTATTTTCCTTGTTGCAGATAATAATGAGAGGAGGGCAACAATTAACTCATGATTAACAAAAAAAAAAATCCCAGCATGTTTGTATATACTGCACCTGGGAATGACAAAACAACATTGGTGGTGATTGATTCCATTCTGGAGATGTCACTTGTACTATCCTCTCAACACTGGAAGGATCAGGCAATGGATACCACTGCCTTTTTGAACCCTACTTTGCTGCATCAAACATGCAAGACCTAGCCCACACCTCACCCACATTATTTCTACATTCTCCTCCAATGTGGATATTTCTAGATGTATTGGACTTCAACTCCCAGAATTCCCAAGCCAGCTGAGAATTCTGGGATTTGAAGTCCAAGATACTTATTAGCAGAAGGCTGGGTTAATAAATGCTGAGAAGAGAAGAGGCTTACACCTAGGAAGGAAGAATAGGATAGGAGTACATGGTTCGCGGAATTCTTGGCGTCCAATTTCTAACTCCACAACAGTTTACATTCATATCAATAAATGAAAACAGCAGCGCCTTGGCAGAGCGAAGACGTCCAGGCACGCAAGAGGCAGGAGCCAGCGGCAGATTTCAGGCAAGGCGGCTGAATGCCGCGGCGGCATTCCGGCGAGGGGAGGCAAGGCAAGGCAAGGCACAAAGGGGCAGGGTCCCTCGGCCGGCTGGGGAGGGAAGCGCGAGCTCTTGACTGGCTTAACCCAGTTCCATTTCCAAGGCAGAAGGAGCCGGGAGAGGGAGGCAGGGAGGAGCTCCCCTCCCGCCTCTCATCCCCGCGTTGAGCAGCGCGAGTACACACACTACGTGACTGGAGACGCATCCCTCCCTCCGGCCAGCTTGTTCTGCTCTCGCTCCCTGTCAGTACAAAACAACTGCTATCCTGCCTTATTTACTCCTGCTCGAGCCAGCCGGGCTTGCGCTCTCCTCTCCCCCGCCCCGCCTGTGCCTCGTTGGAGCGCTGCCTGCCGCCTTTCCCCCTCCGCAGAACAAAGGAATGCGAGGCGCCGCGGCAGCGCCCTCCAGCCCCTTCCAGCGCGCGCTTCTTGCCCAGTCATAACAACCAACGCCTAAGGCTGCTGCGAGTCCTCCGGCTCCCTCTTCGGTCGCCGCCGCCCTCCGTCCCGGGAGCGCAAGCCACGCTCGCCCGGGCAGCCTTTCCAGCACCCACGAAGAGAGACCCCAGTCCCGCGCCGCCTCGCTCCTCCTTTCTTCAATAGGCAGCCAGGCTAAGGCCAGAGCGGGTGGAAATGGCCAGAGCAGCCTCGTTTGAGACCGGGGAGAAAGCCGTGAATGTCGGTAGCGTCTCCTCCCCTTAACTCGCGCGCGCTAAAAAGGCCACCAGGAACATTTAAAAAGGATGTTGAATTTGATTCCACACCAACCTCCCTTCCCCTAGAACATTTAAGACGTCGTAAGGAATGTATTGTTTTAAATGTAATTGCTACAAAAGTCGGGAGCCCTCCCCCACCAAGGAAAAACTGGAGGGAGATTGTGCGAGAGCATCTTACGTTGCGATTGCACGGCAGGATTCTGACCAAGTGACATAGATCACAGCATGCTGAAGCTAACGGTTGCCCCCTCGTCTCCCATGTCAGCATGAACTCGTTCCTTCATTACAATTTGCCGGGAGCAATGAGATACGAGACACTCACTTTTCCCGAAACACGTAATGATCTCCTAATAGGTCTGTTTTTTCAAGGGAGCTGGGCGGGGGGGGGGGGGGGAAGAAGAAAGAAAGAAAGAAATAATGCACGAAAACCGACACCTACCAAGCCACTTGATGTCTGGTATTCCTAAAAATACCAGCCTTATCAGAACGTCTCCGAAGGCGTGGAGTTCAAAACGCGAGCAAATGTCCTTGAACGCCTATTTGCACAGCTCTGGAGAAAAGACCAGAAATAGCCCAGGAAGCTACAATTGCTTAAATGTGATGGAGCTAAATATAGTCGTGCACAATTCTCATTTTAAGGGACGTGGCACATATTCAACAAGCCGAGTTGTTGCCCCATTTAACCACTGATCTACTTTTCCGAAGGGGGGGGGGGGGATTTGGGGGGGGGGGGAGAGCAAGAGAAATTTGGATCCCTTAGTCTAACGCTTTCTTTAAAGAAAAAAAAAAAACTCGGGGTGGATTGCTGTAGTTTCTTGAAGGGGAGATTTATCAAATCACGTAATTAGCTTCCCAGCCTCACTGCCAGCAAATTTTGTGGTTACATAATGCAACGTTTCCAGGAACGATCAAAGAAATGCATTGCCTGAAAACCAGTTGCCAATAGGGAGCAAACGGCAGTAGCCAATATACACACAAGCTTAAAAAAGAAGCGCTTGGAAGAGAACGATTTGTTACGTGTATGTTCCTTTTATAGTTGTTTTAAAGTGAATCCTGGAACGAAAGGTTTTTGTTTTAAAGGATTCTCGAGGGCAACAGTGGCCACCTACTCGACAGTTTCTCTTCCTCTCCGTAAACACATTTTCTATAAAATATCCAGAAGAAATGAAATGGGTAGCGAGTGATAGAATTCCACAGCGCTAAGCGAAAATCCTCAGAGCACTGCACGTTCCCGTCCTATATTAGCGCTTGCCAATAGTTCACTGTGGACGGATTATGCAATGTATGAAATAACAAGTCGCACCAACCTCCCTTCTGGCTGTTAAGACATTCATACAGCTAAAACGTGCGTCTAGAAAAGAATCCCAATAAAACGTAGACAGCTTGCAGAGAGGTATTTTTCTCACCATTTTCCCTCCCTCAACCCCCCATCCCCGATCCCCTTCCAATGATTTTACCGAATAGCATCTCGCTTGTATTCATTTCTTTCACTAGCCCTGTTCAGACAAGAAACCTTTTACTTCTGCCCTGCCGGGATTGCTGAGTATCAGCCGGCCTCAAGACTGCCTAGCCTCTTCGCTCCTCCAAACCACCAATTTATCTCAAACAAGGAGATACATTACGCAACAACAACACGGCGGCAGAGAAAGAGCAAGCGATAGAGCGCCACGGGCCAGAAAGCCACGCTCCGGGTCGGAGAGCGTGAACCAAGGGGCGCCTGCAAGCAAAGCATGCATCTTAAGGTGGCGAGGTCCCGCGCTGGCATGCCAAAGGCTGTAAAAAAGTTGTACGATAGCTATAGAGACAGACGCGCACAAATCGGCGTACGATATGCGATGGCTGTTGCCCATCGATTGCGACAGGCACGTGTACACATCGACCTAGGCTGGAAGGTCTAACCACACGAAATGTCCCAATGAAACAAGAAGACTCACTCGTAGGGAAATATGGTAAGGTGCAGTCCTAGAGAAGGTGATAGATAGATAGATAGATAGATAGATAGATAGATAGATAGATAGATAGATAGATAGATAGATAGATAGATAGATAGATAGATAGATAGATAGATAGATAGATAGATA